ATATACACCTGATTTATGATAAAGGTGGCAGACAAAGGGCTGTCTTTTCAACAAATTGGTGCTGGGATATATAACTGTATGGGAAAAGAACAAAATGTGAACCCCTACACTTCACATCATATACAAAAATAAATGCCAGGTAGACCTGGGGTAGGGAGACACTTTTTATATAGGACACCAAAAACACTAACAATAAGGAGGAAAACTGAAAAATTGGACCACCTTAAAATTAAGAAATTCTAGTTATGAAAGAAAGAAAGGAAAAAAACTATCAAGAGAGTTAGAAGGTAAGCCCCAGACTGGGAAAATACAACCAGATACAACAGATACAACCAACAAAGGGCTTTTACCCAGAATACATAAGGAAGTTCAAAAAACAATGTCAGATAATTCCAAATAATGAGTAGTATATTTGAACAAGCACCTCACAAAAGAGAACATCAAATGACCAATAAGTTTATGAGAAGATACTCCACATGGGTAGTCAGAGAAACAAAATGAAAATCACAGTGAGACAGCACAGCAAGCCCACCAGTAAAACTGATAACACAATGTTGGAAGGATATGGAGCAATGGTATCACTCATGCTGCTGGTAGAAATGAAAACTGATAAAACCATCTTGGAAAAGTTTCCCCTAACATATACATAAACATAAGCCTCAGATGAACAATCGCACTCCAAGGTACATCCGAACATAAATGTATGTAATGTACACCAATAGAGATATGGTTCACAGCAACCATATTCACGACAGGACCAAGTAGAAACAACACAAACATCCATCAACAGAACAAATAAATGAGTTGTAGTATATTCATACAGTAGATCTACCAATGATAAAGTAAACAAACTTCTGCCACATGCAACAATGTGTAGGAATCTAACAAATACAATGTCTAACAAAATGAGCCAGACATGAAAAATACATTCTATGTGGCACTATTTATATAATGTTTAAAAAATCAGCAGATACCAACAAGAGTGTTCAGGGATCTTGCTTAGGCAATTTTCATGGACATCCTGATGGTGATTAGCTACCACTAAGTAGGAGAATTAGGGGCAGTGATTGGGGGCTGAGTATGAAGAGGGCTTCTGGGACATGGCAGTATTACACATTTCAAGGGTGACATCATCTGGGTGTTCATTTGGAGATATATGATTAAGCTGTAAATTTTTGTTTTGCAAACTTCTCTGACAAAAGAGAGAAATTCATTCTCACATGGGAAAAAGAAGACTGGATGCATATAATGAGGGCAGATAGAATGTGAGGGGGCATTTGAACTAAGGCTTGTGGGCTAGAAACATTTTGGTAGGTGGATGATAAAATGGAAACATTTTAGGTAGGGGATGACTGCAAAAAACAAAGCTAGTTATTCAAACAGAAATTGAAGTGGGTAGTAAGTTTGTGCAGCAGTAAGTAGTGAACAGCACGTGTGCCTAATGGCCAATGCTTGTAAGAGTGATGGACTGAGAGGTGAGTCTGGAAAGGTGGTTTGAGGCAAATGGTAGAAAGCTCATTAGATTGGCATTTTCCAACAGGCAGCAGGCAGCTGGCAAAGATTATTCAGCTGGAAAAAAACTACACAATTTTTAGTCTTTCAGATTTTTTTAAAGAAAAGTAACTCTCCTAAATAGTAGGGATAAAGCTTAGATTAGGGACTGAGAAAGGGGAAGGAAACTGGGGCCAGAAAGAGCCTTTAGGAAACAATAACAATTAACACCTAGAGATGATAACGACAGCTGAACTGCGTGAGTCATTTCACCTTCCCTCAGAACACTCCATTTCCGTTATTTTTACATTTACATCATTGTTTATCAATTCTGCTATGTCAAATTTAATGCAAAGAAGACTTAAGCGAAAGGAAGGAAAAAAAGGTCTGTTACACAGATCAAAAGACTTAAAAGTATCACTTGATCTTAAAATTATTTTACTCTTTTGGGAGATGTAGACATTCAAAAGCAGCTATGTATAAGGGCAATTTAGAAAGCCACAATCATGCCTAGAGAAGACACATGCTCAGAACAGTCCTGAGCAGAAGACTTTACGCTTTCACTCACGGCTAATCTCCAGGCTCAGAGAAAATCTAGCTAAATGGTGGAGAAATGCCACATCACAGAGCCAGTCTACCAAGACTGGGAGAGGTGGTTGTTCTGTTTTTTTTGTTTTGTTTTGTTTTGTTTTGTTTCGTGTGTGTGTGTGTGTGTGTGTGTGTGTGTGTGTGTGTGTGTTTGAGCTCTTGACATTTAAGCAAATCTCTGTCAAACACAGGTGAACATGAGCTAATGAAACAGAGACCTGTGATCACACAAGGCAAACAACAGTCATTACAAAATAGTTTGGAAAGGTCTCAAACAAAAGGACAATAAAGCCTTCAACAATAAAAAAGATAGAAAACCTTGGGGTAAATGGGATATCTGATTTCTACAATTACCATGGTGTAGTAGTTCAGTTCAATGTCCAATTCTCAACAACAAAAATCACAAAGCATACAAAGAAACAGGAAAGCATGGCTCACAAAGGAACAGGATGACAGAAACCATCTTAAGAGTCCATAGACATCCCACATATAGTCAATTAATATACGATAAAGGAGCCATGGATATACAATGCAGAAATGACAGCCTCTTCAACAGCTGGTGTTGGCAAAACTGGACAGGTACATGCAAGAGAATGAAACTGGATTATTGTTTAACCCCAGACACAAAAGTAAACTCGAAATGGATTAAGACTTGAATGTAAATCATGAAACCATAAAACCCTTAGAGGACAACATAGGCAAACATCTCTTGAATATAAGCACGAGCAACTTCTTCCTGAATGCATCTCCTCGAGCAAGGGAAAAAGAAGCAAAAATGAACTCATGGGACTACATCAAATTAAAGTTTCTGTACGGCAAAGGACACCATCAACAGAACAAAAAGGCATCCTACAGTACAGGAGAATATATCTGTAAATGACATATCCGACAAGGGGTTAACATCCAAAATATATAAAGAACTTACACACATCAACACCCAAAAAGCAAATAACCTGGTAAACAAATGGGCAGAGGATATGAAGAGACAGTTTTCCAAAGAAGAAATTCAGATGGCCAACAGACACATGAAAAGATGCTCCACATCACTAATCATCAGGGAAATGCAAATTAAAACCACAATGAGATATCACCTCACACCAGTAAGTATGGCCAGCATAGAAAAGACTAAGAACAGAAAATGCTGACAAGGATGCAGAGAAAGGGGAACCCTCCTACACTGTTAGTGGGAATGTAAGCTAGTTCAACCACTGTGGAAAGCAATTTGGAGGTTCTTCAAAAAACTAAAAATAGAAATACCATTTGACTCGGGAATACCACTTCTTGGAATTTACCCAAAGAATTTAATTTCTCAGATTCAAAAAGACATATGCACCCCTATGTTTATCACAGCACTTTTTACAATAGCCAAGATATGGAAGTGACCTAAGTGTCCATCAGTAGATGAATGGATAAAGAAGATGTGGTACATATATATATACACAATGGAATACTATTTGGCCATAAGAAAGAAACAAATCCTACCATTTGCAACAACATGGATGGAGCTGGAGGACATTATGCTCAGTGAAATAAGCCAGGTGGAGAAAGACAAATGCCAAATGATTTCCCTCATTTGTGAAGTATAACAATGAAGCAAAACTGAAGGAACAGAATAGCAGCAGACTCAGAGACTCCAAGAAGGAACTAGTGGTTACCAAAGAGAGGGGTGTGGGAGGGGGAAGGGAGGGAGAAGGGGACTGAGGGGTATTATGGTTAGTACACATGGTGTGGGGATCACAGGGAGAACAGTTTAGTACAGAGAAGGCACATAGTGGATCTGTGGCATCTTACTACACTGATGGACAGTGACTGCATTGGGGTATGGGTGGGGCCTTGATAATATGGGTAAATGTAGTAACCACATTGTTTTTCTTGTGAAACCTAAAGAGTGTATATCAATACCTTAATAAAAAATAAGAAAAAAGAATCCACAGACATCAGACTTACTAGACAAAACTTAAAACAATTATCTTAAATATATTCGAAGTGCTAAGAGAAACATGAATAAAGAACTAACAGAAACCAGGAAAACAAATTATAAAAAGGAGCTAGACAGAAATTTTGGAGCTGAAAAGTGAAATAATGGAAATGAAAAATTCACTAAAGGGATTCACGAGCAGATTTGAACAGCAGAACAAAGAATCAACGAACTTGAAGATAGGATAACTGAAATTACTGAGGCTAAGAAGCAGAAAGAAAAAAGAACGAAGAATTACCATATGATCCAATAATTCCATATCTGGGTATACACCCATAAGAATTAAAAGCAGGGACTCAAACAGATACCTGTGCATAGATGGTCATAGCTGCCTTATTCATAAGAGCCGAAAGATAGAAACAGCTCAAAGTCCATCAACAAAAAATGAAATATGAATATTTAAAAAGGGATGAAATTATGATACATGTTACAACACAGAAACATTATGCTAAATTAAATATGCCAGAACACAAAAGGAGAAATATTGTTTAATTCTACTTATGTCTAGTACCTGGAGTAGACAAATTCATAGAGACAGAAAGAGGAGGTTACTACGTATTAGAGAGAAAAGGGTATAGGAGTTATTGTTCAATGGGTATAGAGCCTTTTTGGGATGATGAAAAAACTAGAAATGGATAATGCTGATGGTTGTACAACACTGTGAATGTACTTAATGCAAATGAGTTATAACTTAAAACAGTTAACTGGCAAATTTTTAAACAGCTAAAAGGGAAATTTGTTTCCCTTGCCCAAGGAAATGTGTTCAGTTAAAAAAATTTCAATTTTTAAATTTTTCAGATTTAAATTTTTTAATTTTAAAAGATTTTAAAATTAAAATTCTGTGATGAAAAGAATAAAAAAGTTAAATTTGGTATGTATATTTACCATAATAAGAAAGTACAAAAAAAGTTGATGAATAAGAGAAAAGCACCCAAATACGCACGAGTTCAAGCTTCCATTTATCACCCTCCTCAGCAGATGCAGCTTTGATAGTATCTGCATTGCCATGGGAAAGTGGTCTCTTGGCAGCTTCATCCACCCCAGAGTCTTCACCTGTTGTAATCCAAGAATTCTGCATGTTTCCCTGAAATGAAGCGCACCAGTAATTTCAATCAAGATTTAACTTTTAAGTCAGCATGCATGTTTTACAATGGAATACCAATTCTGTGAGGAAAGGAATAAAAAAGCAGATGATTTTAAACTACAAATCAAGAATAATTTCACATGCTCAGGCTATTAGGGTCATATTCCACAACAAGTGTTATAAAGTCAAATTCCTTCAGGAACAGGCAATAAAGTAAATGAGCAAAGAGGGCGGATGTTGTACTCAACAAATTGTCTCTTACTTCTCTGAAGACATATACTTTTTTTTTTTTATCAAATGTACAGCACAGTGGTTCAACTGTCCTTCTCCCCCCACCCCAGCCCACTCCCCTCTTGGTAACCACTAGTCACTTCTCAGTGTCTGTGAGTCTATTGCTCTTTTGTACCTTCTGTTTCACTTTGTTTTTATTCCACAAATAAGTGAAATCATATGGTATTTGTCTTTCTCCGCCTGACTTATTTCACTGAGCATAATACCCTCTAGATCCACCCATGTTGCTGCAAATGGTAGGATTTCTTTTCTTTTCATGGCTGAATAATATTCCACCATGTATATGTACCCTCTCTTTGTCCATTCATCTACTGATGGACACTTAGATTGCTTCCATATTTTGTCTATTGCAAACAGTGCAGTGCTAAACATAGGGGTGCATATATCTTTTTGAGTCAGGGATTTTGTTTCTTCAGGTAAATTCCTAGGAGTGGAATTACTGGGTCAAATAGTATTTCTATTTTTATTTTTTTGAGGAACCTCCATACTGCTTTCCACAGTGGTTGCACCAATTTGCAGTGTCACTAATGGTGTTGAAGGGTTCCTATTCCTCTGCATCCTTCCAGCATTAGTTATTTCTTGTCTTTTGGATAGTGGCCATCCTAAATGGTGTGAGGTGTTATCTCATTGTGGTTTTAATTTGCATTTTCCTGATAATTAGCAATGTGGAGCATCTTTTCATGTGCCTGTTGGCCACTTATATTTCTTCTTTGGAGAACTGTCTCTTCAAGTACTCTGTCCATTATTTGATTGGGTTATTTGTTTTTTTGGGTGTTGAGATATATGAGTTCTCTATATATTTTAGATGTTAATACCTTATCAGATGAGTCATTTATGAATATATTCTCCCATGCTGTAGGATGCCTTTTTGTTCTGCTGATGGTGACCTTTGCTGTACAGAAGCTTTTTAGTATGACATAGTCCCATTTGTTCATCTCTTATTTGGTTTCCCTTGCCCAAGTAGATGTATTCCAGAAAAAACTGCTCATGTTTATATTCAAGAGATTTTTGCCTATGTTTTCTTCTAAGAGTTTTATGGTTTCATAACTTATATTCAGGTCTTTGACCCATTTTTAGGTTATTTTTGTGTATGGAGTTAAACAATAATCCAGTTTCATTTCCTTACATGTAGCTGTCAAGTTTTGCCAACACCAGCTGTTGAAGAGGCTGTCATTTTCCCATTGTATATTCATGGCTCCTTTATCGTATATTAATTGACCATATATGCTTGGGTTTATATCTGGGCTCTCTATTCTGATCTATTCATCTATGGTTCTATTCTTGTGCTAGTACCAAATTGTCTTGATTACTGTGGCTTTGTAGTAGAGCTTGAAGTCAGGGAGTGTAATCCCCTCAGCTTTATTCTTCCTTCTCAAGATTGCTTTGGCTATTTGGGTGGGGGCTGTTGTACTTTCATATGAATTTTAGAAATGTTTGTTCTAGTTCATTGAAGAATGCCATCAGTATTTTGATAGGGATTCCACTGAATCTGTAGATTGTGTTAGGCAGGATGGCCATTTTGACAATATTAATTCTTCCTATTCATGAGCATGGGATGTATTTCCATTTATTGGTGTCTTCTTTAATTTCTCTCATGAGTGTCTTGTAGTTTTCAGAGTATAGGTCTTTCACCTTATTGGTAAGGTTTATTCCTAGGTAGTTTATTCTTTTTTTCATGCAATTGTGAATGGAATTGTTTTCCCGATATCTCTTTCTTCTAGTTCATCATTAGTATACAGGAATGCAACAGATTTCTGTGTATTAATTTTATAACCTGAAACTCTGCTTAATTCAGTTATTAGATCTAGTAGTTTTCTGGTGGATTCCTTAGGGTTTTCTATGTATAATAACATGTCATCCCCAAACAGTATGAGTTTAACTTCTTACTTACCAATTTGGATGCCTTTCATCTCTTTGTGTTGTCTAATTGCTGTGGCTAAGACCTCCAGTACTATGTTCAATAAAAGTGGGGAGAGTGGGCATCCTTGTCTTGTTCCCAATCTTAGAGAAACAGCTTTCAGCTTTTCACTGTTAAGTATGATGTTGGCTGTGGGTCTGTCATATGTGGCCCTTATTATGTTGAGGTATGTACCCTCTATAACCATTTTGTTGAGAGTTTTTATCATAAATGGAAGTTGAATTTTGTCAAATGCTTTTTCAGCATCTATTGAAATGATCATTTGGTTTTAATTCTTCTTTTTGTTAATGTGGTGTGTGATATTGATGGATTTTTTAATATTGTACCATCTTTGCATCTCTGGAATAATTCTCACTTGGTCATGATGGATGATCTCTTTGATGTATTTTTGGATTCAGTTTGCTAATATTTTGTTGAGGATTTTTACATCTATGTTCATGGATACTGGTCTGTAATTTTCTTTTATTGTGTTGGAAGACATATACTCTTGAAACACATAGCCCTGTCCTGGTTTGTCTTTCATTTCCCACATTGCATAAAGGCATGACTAACAATAACAACTGTTAACACATAATGTGTTTACTATGTGCCAGACACTGTTAATGTGCTTTACATATATTAACTCATTTAATCATTATGACAACTCTTTAGTTTCATTATCTCCATTTTATAGGTGAGGAAACTGACTCACACAGAGTAACTTGCTAAGAGTCACAGAGGGAGGAAGTAGCTAATCAGTGATAGAGCTAGGATCTGAATTCCTGCCCATCTGGTTTCAGAGTCATGCCTGAAACCACTGTGTTCTTCTGCCTTTCCAGAAAATGGTTTGCCTTCAGTAAGAAGAAGTGCATGGTGATAAATAGACAATACTGACATGCAGCCTGAATGGCAGGGATTCAGAAAGGAGTGGAAGGGACCATGGCAAACCATCCAAAAGTAGCAACCACTACTCAAATCTAGTCAATTGCTGCCATGTGTGAAGGCAAACTCATATATTACAACTTTTTCCAAAAAGATAAGCCAGATATCTGGCTCTTCATTTGAAGTACCATTAAATATCAGAAAGTTCAAAGTTCATCAAACAAACAAAAAATATCTACAGAGCAAATCTAGTATATCTGTTGATGGTTTGCCACCTTTGGCAAACTTTCAACATTCAATGAAATACACAGCCCAAAGATCTAGATAATTTATATTCCCAGCAAGGCAATACTTAGATGTTTAAATACTTATATTAATTTAATTAAAGAAATAATTACTGAATTCTTGCTAAGGGCCACGGGTTATGGTAGTACTTACAAGAGAGGACAGGCCCCCAGATACAGAACTATACTGCAGTGTCATATCATGCTAGAATGGGGAAAACTGCATTCATCCAAATTAGTATTGAGATTCTATTCCACATTTTTCCAGAAGTACAATTAATACAAACATTAGGTATAATACCTACTATGTTCAGGACATTATGCTAATAGCTTGGAGGGTAAAAATGAGCAAGACCAATCTTATCCTCAAAGAGTTTAATAAGAGACAATCAAATTTCAATTTAATCAGGTAAGTGCTAGGGCAGAGGTTTGCATGGGGGACTATGCCAGAACAGAGGAGGGACACTTAAGAGAAACCAGAGATTCATGGTTTTCTGGAGAAGTTTTGACACTGGTGTCATATTTTAAGGAGAATAAGTGTAAGTTAGATTGGAAGGGCATGCCAGGAGGAGAGAACATTATGAGAAAAGTCCCAGAGGTGTGAAAGAGCTGGTGATTGCAGGGCACTAGGGTACTTCTGCATTACTAGAGGTTGAACACAAGGCAATCAATGGATATCAGAAGGTGAAGCCAGAGAATTAAACATGGATCAGGAAAATGTGGCATAAGAAGCATGAACTTGGTTCTGTGGGTAAGGACAAATCTCTCAAGATCTGATTGCACTCAAAGTTGCCTTCGAGAGCAATGGAGGGTGGCACTAATTTCTTAAAAAGAAATTGGAGAAGGCATGTAGAGCACTGGCTTATGATATAAAATAGTGGCATTCTTGGGAAAGAAGTGCTAGTCTAATTGACACTTTGTTCTTTTACAGATGGCTTTTAAAAATATGAATGGTATTTGACCAATTTAAAAAATTCAATTACATTTCCACATCCCTAAAGATCACTGAAAAATCTTAGCTTTCTTAATTAAGGGAAGGGGTTGGTAGCAGAAGGGATGGGAGTAGATAAAGAAAGAAATGGCTCAGAAATTTTCGACTTTTAAAATCTCTTACATTTCTGAATGAATACACGTGCTAAAATTTCCAATAAAAAGCATATTTTAATTTTATTATAATTTTTTGAACTCTTAAGGAAAGTCCTCCATGAAGAGAAATTTTGTAAGAAGGCAAAGTGATGGAAAATGAAGATGGAAATGAAATCTTCATTGAATGGTTTTAGTTTTTAAAAAATTATCTTGCTTGTTCAATGCTTGTCATAAACCAGGCTAAAAGATAAAACCCACGTAAGCTACCACCATCCAAGTACAAGGCCAAAACTCAGAAACAATAACACAGAGCCTCTTCTCTTCTCAGGGGAATCTTCTATCCCATGGCAAAGACGGTTTGGTTCAATATTGACAAGCTATTCTTAACTTATGTACAATTCAAAGCTAGGTGGAAGGACTGAGGGAATCTGACAGTGCCATGTTTGAGTCCTAGCTTTGTCATTTTCTAACTTTGTGACTTTAGACCATTTACTTCAGTTACTTAACTGCTGTGTACCTTCATTTACTCATCTGAAAATAAACATAACAACAACTGCCTT